GAAACCCCAACTCTCCATGTTGCTTTAAGATATAGCAGAGCAAGTGTTCTCTAGCAGGAGGGAACTCTTTGTGTCAGGAGAACCTGTCTGATCAGGCAGAGGGCACTGCAGGAAGCTACCAACCCTCTGAGAGCTGAGTCCTGACCCTGTACCTGCTATCGCCTTCTCTCCAGCAGTGAGGGCTTTGTCTGACTGCAGGATGGATTCCTCCACAGCCACCTATGCCTGCAAGAACTCATTTGTCTGAGGAACCAAAAAGATGCAAAGATCAGTCAGGTAGCAAATATCTAGTCCTCTGATGAGATATTATTATTCAGTAAAGCCACAAATCTAACCCTGTAATTCTGCATCTGCCTAGGATCCCACAGTGCTTCTCTCCCTCCTTGGCCACAACAAAGCCTCCAAGCCCTCTGATGAGACATGAGGACCTTGCACAGCAGCCTCCTGCCCAGCTCTACAGCTCCTGTCCCAGGGACACTGCCACCACCCAGGGTGCAAACAATCGGATTTACTGCAGTTCTACAAACATGATCCTCCATTGTCTGAAATATTTTCACGTTCTTTTTCTTCTGCCTGGATGCTGTGCTACCCTTTCTTAAGTAGCATAACATCAATCAATACTTCAACTAAGAGTTCCCACCTAGATGCCAGAAGCTTTCCAGGTTGCCTTCTGAGTTTCTATCACAACTTTACTGAGATATGATTAACATAATAAAAATTATATATGCTGAAGGTATATGGCATGTTTTGACACATGTATACATTGTGAAATGATTGTTAAAATAAAAAACCAAGTAACATATCCATCATCTCATATAGTTACCTGTTTTGTGTGGTGAGAACACTTGAGATCTACTATCTTAGCAAATTTCAAGTATGTAATACATTATTTTAACGAGAGTCACCATGCTATAAATTAGGTAATCAGAACTTACTTATATTATAAATGAATGTTTGTGACTTTTGACCAATATCTCCCATTTCCTCCCACTCCCCTGCCTCTGGAAACAAACATTCCCCTCCCTATTAATATGACTTTGTCATTATTCTTTTAAATTTCACGTAAAGGTGAGTCATGTAGTATTTGTCTGTCTGTGTCTCTAGGTATATTCATGCTTTCACAAGTGGCAGGATTTCCTTCTTTTTAAGGCCGAATAATATTTCATTATATTGTATAATATATACATCTTTTTTGCATATTTATTTGTGAATACACACTTAGATTGTTTCCATAGCATGGCTATTGTGAATAATGCTATAATAAATATGAGAATACAGATATTCCTTCAAGATAGTGATTGAATTTCCTTTGGAAGGATAGCCAGAAGTCCACCAATAGCTGCTAAGAATAATGAACCAATTCAGTAAAGTTGAAGTAATAATATATAAACTCAGTAAAGTTGAACGATAAAAAATTATTGTACAAAAATAGTTGCATTTCTATACACTAACAAAATACTACCTCCCCAAAATTAAGAAAATGAACATTTATAATAGCATCAGAAAGAGCAAGATACTTAGAAATAAATTTAACCAAGGAGATGAAAGAACTCTAAAGTGAAATCTATAAAATATTGATGATAGAAATTGAAGAGGATATAAAATTAAAGGAGAGATATTCAGTGTTCATAGATTGGAAGAATTAATATTGTTTAAAATATCCATTACTACCCAAAGACACCTCCAGATTTAATGCAATCCCTATGAATATTCCAATGAGATTTGTCACAGAAATAAGAAAAACGATACTAGAATTTGTATAGAACCACAAAAAATCATGAGTGGCCATATCAATCTTGATCAACAAAAACAAAGTCAGCAACATATTACCTGATTTTAAAGTCTGCTACAAAACTGTAGTGATAATGAACATATCACTGGCATAAAACACACAAGTAGCCCAGTACCACAGAATGGAAATCCAGGAAATAAACTAACTAATATATGGTCAAATAATTTTCAACAAATGTGCCAAAAATATACCACGTGGAAAAGAGAGTGCCTTTGATAAATGGCACAGGGAAAACGGAATATCCAAAAGAATGAATTGGACCCTTATATCATATACAAAAATAAACTACAAATGGATGAAAGGTTTAAACATAAGACCAGAAATCATAAAACTCCTAAAACAAAACACAGGGGAACAGCTCCTTGACATTAGTTTTGGCAATGATTTTTTTTAATTTGACACTAAAAACACAGGCAACCAAATGCAAAAGTAAAGTGGGACTGCATCAAACTCAAAGTTTCTGCACAGCAAAGGAAATGATCAACAAGATTAAAAAGTAACATACAGAACAGAAGAAAATGCCTGCAAACATATATCTGATAATTGGCTACTATCTGCCATATATAGGAAACTCATACAAAATAATACCAAAAACAAAAACAAACAAACAGGAACACCAAAATAACCCAGTTAAAAAAGGGGCAAAGAACCTTAATCGGTATTTCTCAAAAGAAGATATTTCAATTGCCAATGCCTAAGTGAAAACATTTTCAACATCCCTAAGCATCAGGGAAATGGAAATCAAAAGCACAAGTAGATATTATCTGTTAGAATGACCATTATAAAACTCAAAAGATAACAATTGTCGGCAAGGCTGTGCAGAAAAGAGACACTTTGGATATGGTTGGTAGCAATGTAAGTTGATATAGTACAATGTTTCCTCAAAAGAGAAAGTTCTGAGTGTCTGATGGCTATGAAGTACATCGATCAACCCTATCAGCTCTACCACTTGCTAGCTGTGTCATCTTGGGCATCTTATTAGCTTCACTACATATTACATTACTCAACTGCATAAAGGGAAGGCAGTAATACCTAATTTATATTAGGTGTACATGGTACACCTAATATACATGGTACAGGATGTGAATGCTCCACATATGTGAGCCATTATGTTCCTCACCATCATCATTATGATCAGCAAGAAATCAAGAACTCAATCCCATTTATAATAGCTGAAAAGATGTAAAATATCTTGGAATATTTAACCAAGGAGGTGAAATATCTCTACAAGGAAAACTACAAAACATTCTTTCTGATGAAAGAAATTGAAAATGGCACAAGCAAATGTAAAAGCTTTCCATGCTAATGGATTAGAAGAATCAATATTGTTAAATTATCCACACTGCCCAAAGTAGTGTATAGATTCAATGCAATTCCTATCAAAATGCCAACATCATTTTTCACAAAATTAGCAAAAACAATCCAAAACTTCATATGGAATCAAGAAAAAGGGCAAACAGGCAAAGCAATCCTAAGCATAAAGATCAAACCTTTGACATCACATTACCCAACTTCAAATTACACTACAAGGCAATAGTAACCAAAACAGCATAGCATTGGTATAAAAGTAGACACATAAACCAATGAAACAATGAATAGAATAGCAACCCAGAAATTAAAGTAAAATACCTAAAACCAACGATCTTTGATTTAAAAAATGCGACAAAAACATATTTTGAATAAGGGCACCCTATTCATAAATGGTGCTAGAGAAATTGGATAGCTCATACAGAAGAATGAAACTGGACTTCTATCTCTCACCATATACAAAAAGTAAAGTTAAGATGAGTTACTAAAGAGTTAAATGTAAAGAATAAACTATTAAAATTAGAAGAAAAGTAGGAAAATCAATCCTTGACATTGGCCTAGGAAGAATTATGACTTGAACCCCAATCAAATGGAAACAAAACACAACAAAAACAAAATGGACCATTAAAATTAAAAAGCTTCTGCTTAGCAAAAGAAATATCAAAACAGATAACAGACAAACCTATGGATGGGAGAAAATACTCGAAAAGCTAACATTCAACAAAGGACTGATATACAGAACACTAAAAGAACTCAAACAAATCAGGTAAGAAAAAAAATAAATCCATTAAAGCAAACAAAAGACACAAAGAGCCAACTTTAAAAGAAAAAGAGACAATGGCGACAAAATTTTGAAAAAAACACTCACATTGCTTAAGTCATCACAGAATGCAAATCAAAACAATAATGGGGGGGGAGGGGAAAATGGCAGCAAGTTGCTACCCTCTTGACTCTGGGCTCTTGGGGTGAGGGGGGAAAGAGGATGGGACAAACCACACGCAGGGTCATCTGCACACTCTTGGAAAGATTCGGCAGGAAGCAGAGACACTGGATAACAAATTGGTGGACAACAATTAAATGGAATGGGAAAATTCTTTCACAAACACCAGGAGTCGGAAGTATAGTGGGAGGGGAGACACCACAGCGCCACGCCGCCACCGGGCTGGCCAGAGGATATCATCCCTTCTCCCCCACAACAGGGAGAAGATCCCTTCCCAACTGTCCCACGCCACAACAGGCAGGGGAACTGTCTGAAGTTTATGGAGGTGGCAACGTGGGCAAGATGAGCGGTTTTGGACAGGACCCTGAAGCAGGCAGCGTTTTGAATTTACACAGCGCCCGCTGAAGCATGGGAGTGCAGGAACGGGTCTGAACCAGCACCCGCTCCTTACCCCACCGCCCAGCCACCCGCGCTTGGAGACTCTTGAGCAGAGCCGTGCGGGGAGATGGTTCTTCCTTGCTTTCCACTGCCCCACACCACGCTGAACTGTTCCTGCTTCAGGAGAGGCAGCCTACGAGCCGCAGCACCACATGAAGCAGTAGTGGTAGGGAGAAGGACCCGGCTCTGTGCCTGCTCCCCTCTCCGCGCCAGCCCCAGTGCTTGGGACTCAGCGCAGAGCTGTATGGAGCATTCACTGGACATTCCCCAGGCGCCCCCAAACAGCTAACAACTGTTCCTGCTTTCAAGAGGAGGGCAGCTATCGACCCAAGCATCGCTGAAGTGTAGTGGGAGGGAAAAGGGCCAGCTCTGTGCCGCTCCCTGCTCTGCCACCCCAGCCCGCGGTGGAGACTCCACGCAGAGCCACGCGGGAGACGTTATCCCGGTTCCTCAGGGCCCCAAACAGCCTGAACTGTTCCTGCTTCGGGGAGGCAGCCTACGAGCCCACAGCGCCTCTGAAGCATGTCGGGTAGGGAAGAAAGGGCCCAGCTCTGGGCCACTCCCCCCGCCCACTACCTTACTGCAGCTTGGAGAAAAGCTGTAGGAGTACTGGCAACTGGCGGAGTTTGCCAGGCATTCTTTACTCCAAACCAGAACAAACTCTTCAATTTGGCTGAAGAAGACACTTCTCGTGAATGCCAGAACCCCACTAATTCAGTAAGCGGAGTAGAAAGGGTCCAAACCCTGCAGCACCTTCCAGCACTTCACATATACCCCTTAAGCTTGGAGAACTCTGCGGAGGGCAAGTGCTCAAGCGTTTCTCTTGAACCTCTTCTACCCTAAACTGGCTGATCTGTGGGCCTCTGGAGAAGACAACTTGCTGAGCTCCCAGGGCTATGCTGAAGCCGAAGCAAGGGAGAGGGCGAACTAGCACTGCTTCCCAGTCTCCCGAGGCCGCTCCTTAGCGGAAAAACTATGGAGGCTCCCTGGTAATAACTCAGTCTTCCCTCTGTCCCTAACTGGCAGGGTTGAAAGCTGATTTATGAGGTGGAAAGTGAAGTGGTGCTTTGTTGGGCCAGCTATCATCACAAGTGTGAACCTGAATGGTACTTGCTGCACTCAGTGGTTTGGGTTCTGCTGCCACAGAGTAGAAGCCTGTCTTAGCAGGCAGAGAAGCAAAGAAGGCATGCTATTCTGAGGATCGAAGAACCCTTGGAGTAGACGATAACAACCGAAACACATCTCCTCAGGTCTTCAGATCATTCCTTGGGACCCAAGTTACGACAGTTATAATCGACTTCTAGCATCTCTGGTCTCTACAAAGTATCCAGATGAGGAAGAACAGCGAAACATCAGGAACCATGAAAATTCCAGAGAGAAAAGTCAGCTCCAAAAGAAAGATACCATTTTACCAACTGACACCAACTTACATGAATGATTAACTAAAGAGGAAAAGAATCCGAAATAATGTTAGAAAGCTCATGGAATCGAAGAGAAATAGAATCCAACATAGAGAACACAAGAACAATCCAGGAAATTATAAAAATTCTCCCAAGATCATAGAAGTAATTCAGAGAAACCAAACAGAAATTCTAGCAATGAAGGAAACATTCAAGGAACTCCATAAACACAGTGGAAAGCATCAAAAATAGGATAGATATGCGAGGAGACTCAGAGCTGAAGATTATACCTACACGCTAAACAATCAAGGACAGAAAGGGTTGCACAGACAAGAGACAATATCAAAGCCTTACAGGAAGTTATGGATTATGTAAACAAGATCGAACTCAGAATGATTGGCATTGCAGAGTGCGAAGAGGAACATTCACAAGGGTGAAAACTGTCTCTACAGCATACTGAGGAAAATATGCGGGGTAGCAGAAATCTGGAAATCAAAACAAGAAGTGCACAGAATTCCGACAGACACATGCGAATAGGCAATCGCCTCGTCCTGTGGTTTATTAAGCTGACCAAGTAAAAGTTACAAGAAGCAATCCTCCATACAGTACGCGTAAAACACAAATAACCTACAAAGGAAAGCCTATCAGCACTATCTGCAAGACTCTCATCTGAAACCTTACAAGCCAGAGGGAAGTGGCTATCCTTAATCTTCTAAAGAACAAAGCCCAACCTAAGAATCTTTATCACGGCAAAATTAAGGTTCATCTATGAGTGTGAAATAAAATCCTTTCTCAGACAAGCAATCAACTGAGGCTATGCAAGACCAGACAGCACTACAGGAATTCTCAGACTGCTTCCACAGTGAAAGGCATAGACACTCCTCAAAATGAAATCTCAAAGAATTAAAGTCTAGATCTTGAACTTTCATGATGACTCAAGACCTAAGTTTCAAAGCAACAGGACTCACCCATCATATGAACGGAAATCTTCTCCTCAATTCATCCTCCATAAATGTAAAGGTTTAAATGTCCTACTGAGAGACATAGGCTGCAGATGGATAAAATTCCAAAAGCCTAGTATTTTCTGTCTACAGAAAACCTAACCTTAAAGATGCCTCCTGGCTGAAGATCAAGATCTGGAAAGTAATCTCCAAGCAAATGGAAGTCAAAAGGAAGCAGGGGTAACTATATTATTTCAGACAACATTAGTTTTTAAATTAACAAAAGTTAAAAGGATAAAGAAGGCCCACTTAATAATGGTGTAAGGGATGATCCAAACAAGAGACCTAACAATTTAATATTTATGCTCACGAATGCAGGGCACCCAATTACATAACGCAAACTTATCAGAGCTAAATACCACCCTAAACATGCTGCCCTATAGCAGAGGACTTCAATACCATAAATGACTGGATATGACCTCCAAACAGAAATTAAGTAAAGAAATAAGGGAACCTAAACAAGATTTTGAACAAAAAGTTTCTGACAGGTCTATACAGAACATTTCACCCAAATACAAGTTGAATTTACATTCTTCTCAGCAGCCATGATCCTCTTCAAAAAACGACCTCCAACATACTAGGCCACAAAGCAGAGCTCCAAAAATTCAGACAAAAAATAACAACTTGTGTCTTCTCTGACCATAGTGGGTATAGAATTTAGAGTCAACTCTAACAGAAATACATACCACATCACTAAGTCATGAGAACAAAAACCTACTATTGAATGATATTGGGCCAAGGAAGAAATTGAGAGGAAATCAAGATTTCTCAAACAAAATGACAATGGAGCCATCATCTAACAAAACCTTTGGGATACAGCAAAAGCATATCTGAGAGGAAAAACTAATAGCAATAAATGCTCACATCCAAAAAACAAAAGATTAGACACCAGACAACCTATATGAATAGCCTCATAGAAGAAAGAAGAAGGCAAACCCATCTCCCAATCCTAGCAGAAAAAAGAAAATCTTAGATCAAAGTTCACTAAATGAAATGGAGAATAAGAAGAATTTATGGAAGATCAACAAAACCAGAAGCTGGTTTTTCGAAAAGATCAACAAATTGACAGCCCTTCTGGCTAGGCTGACAAGAACTCAAACGGAAAGGACTATAATAACCTCAATAAAAATGAAAAAGGAGAGATCAGCACAGACTCCAGAAATATAAACATCATGTTTGACTACTATACCAAATATATATGCCAAAATAACAGAATGAAGACGAAATGGACAGATTCTGGAATCCACAACCTCCCTAAGTTTTACCCAGGAGAAAATGAGTTCCCTAACAGCCAATCACAAGCTCAGAAATTGAACAGTAATTAAAAACCCCCAAATTGGAAAGTCCCGGATCCAGACAGCTACACCCAGAGTTGCTACAACATTTAAGGATGAACTTATAGCTAACTACAGATAACTATTCACAACCTTGTGAAGGATGGTATTCCTCCTACCTCATTCTATGAGCCAATATCACCTTTAGATACCAAACGCAGGAAAAGATCACAAGAAGAAATCAAGACCATATCCCTCATGAACATAGATGCAAAAATCTAAACAAAATTTTAGCAATAGAATTCAGCAAAATACAAAAAATAATCACCATGAAACAAGTGATGTTTATTCCTGGCATCAAGGCTGGTTCAACCACCCAAGTCCTATAATGCAATCCACTTTATAAATAAAGCAACAAAGACCATATGAGTCTGTCATAGATGCAGAAAGCATTTGATAAAGTCACATAACTTTATCCATAAAAACCCTTAATAAAAATAGGCGTAGATGGATGAACCTTAATCTTATTAAATCATTAATCTATGACACCAAGGCAAACATCCATTATAATGGGGAAAAATTGAATCATTCCTTCTAACCAGAACTAGACAAGGATGCCCACTTTCTCCCTTCCTAATTTAAACAGTAGTGTCAAAGTCTTTGCTATAGCAAATCAGGCATGAGAAGGGGTATTACAGGGAATCAAAGTTGGGTCAGATGAGATCAACTTCATCTTCGCCAATGATATATATTATACTAGAAAACCCCCATGACTCATCCAAGAGACTCCTAATTTGATAAATGAATTCGTAAAGTTTCAGGTATACAATAATATAACACAAATCAAAGCATTCATATATGCCAAAAATCAAGCAAACTCAATCAAAACAAATACCATTTACTATAAGCTCCAAGGAAAATTAAACAGCTAGGATTATACTTAACGAGAGATACGAAAGATTTATACAAGGAGAACATGAACACTAAAAAAAGAAATTGCAGATGATTTAAGATGAAAATCTACATTGTTCTGGCTTGAAAGATCAAATTGTTAAATGTCAATTTACCTAAGGTGATCTACAGAATCAATGCAATCCCCATTCAAATACCACCAGATATTTTTACATCTAGAAAAAATAATCATTCACTTTGTATGGAAACCGAAAAACCACGTATGCCAAACAATCTTAAGTAAAAAGACAAACTGAGAGGAATCAATCTTCCTTGACTTCAAGCTGTACTATAAGGGCAATAATAGTAAGCTGCCTTGGTTACTGCACAAGAACAGAAACATCGATATCTGGTATAGATCTGAGATTCCAAGAGATCAAACCATCTGTATACAAATAACCTAACTTTGATAACAGAACAATAATCATACTATGGGAAAAGATTCTTTCTTCAATAAATGGTGCTGGGGAAAACTGTTAGCATCATGCAGAAGAGCGAACAGGACCCAACCTCTCACCCGCTCACGACATTGCACCTCAGATGGATAACAGACCTAAACCTAGACATGAAACTTTAAGAATCCTAGAAGAAGATGATTGGAAAACCCATCAGAGATTGGTCTAGAATAATTTTATGAGGAACGACCCCAAGGCACCGCCACACGCAAAAAAACAAATGGTATCTGATCAATTAAAAATTTCTGCAGCTGCTCAAGGAAATGATCATTGAGCAAATAGACAACCCACAGAATGGGAGAAAATAGTGCTCTGCATTCTGATAAAGTCTAATACAAGAATCTATTTAGAATAAAGAATAAAACAAGAAAAAATCAACAACCATCAGAAAAGGGCA